TTGAGAACCATTTAAGACTTTTTTAAAACCTGCAAGGTTTTTTTTTTTGGCTTTTAGTTTTTTCCTTTTTTTTTTTTTTTTTTTTTTTTTTACTACAAACTTCAGTCTGATTTCACCTCCTACACATCCGGCTGCTATTCAAGCTGACACTGGCCAAAAGGTAGCGTGCACTCCGGTTTACAGTCCATCACACGGTTGACGTAAAACAGATAGACAACACCTTAGGATCACAGTAATTGACCTGACTGTGTGTGATTTTGTGTATGTGTGTCTTTTGACCGTGGGAGGAAAACCTACACATCCACAAGGAGAAAATGCTGCTCACAGAAAAGAACCAGCCATCAGGCCAAAAACCAAAATGCATTTTCAGTGCAGTCCTTGGACACAAGCCTGTTGCAATGAATCAATTAATCACATGATAAATTAAAATGGGATCGTTAATGTCCATTTTGATGATTAGTTGTTTTTTTTTTTAAGTTTACAGTGATTTCATATTCCATTTTATTTATGGCTTCTCTTGTGCGAAGTTTTTATTTCAGTTTTTTTTATTATTTTTGGTTTATGTGTTTTTTTGGATATGTAAAGTATATTCCATGTCCATTGTTTAATATTCTTTACAAAATGAAAGTTTATTAGTCTTTGAGATGGCAAACTTGTATAATTATGCCATCGTCAATATATTACTTCTCAAAACAAATATATTATCGTTTATCACATTAATTACTGGGACAGTTTATCGTCCAGCAGAATTTGTTGTCGTCACAGGTCTGGTTGGGCATGAAAGTCATGATCATCATTTTACTTTGAATGTATTTGCAGTTAAATGTTTAAAACTGGAACTCAGGTCAGTCTGCAAGACCTACAGAGTGAGAAACCCTCACTTCACTCAAATGAACACATCACAGTCCAAAAATGTAAACCAAGAACTAATTACTATCACTTAAAACAGAAAACAATTATTTCTACTGTTGCTGCTAAAATACTATCTACATGTTGATTGCAACAGCTATTGTTCTTAAACGTTTCATAATACCACGTTTTCAGGTTTGCTGTTTTATATCATAGAAAATAAACCAAAACAAAAGCATTCTGATGAATTTGATGGACACAGTTTGGTTATTCGGGGATGCATGGTGGTTCAGTTAATACCACTGTTTCCACAGTAGAGAGAAAATTGGAAATTTAACATCAGTGATTGGCCAAAAAAACCGCAATCGGTGCACTTCCACTTGGTACACTTTGGTACTAGTAACAGTTCATTACTTCTCTGGAACCGCATTCATTGTCACATTCTCCATTTGTTTCTCTTTACAGGACTAACATGGTTTTTAATGTTCAAAGCCTGTTTTATGTGTCTCAAAACAAGACAACAAAAGCTATGGGGTGGGCCCAGAGTCAAATTAGTGGGCTCATAAAAAAGCAGGAATAAAGTTAATCTATTGCTTCCCTTGTTTCATCTCCGTCCAGAAAATCGTACCTGCTAGTTAATAAGGTTCTCTGACAATTAGGAAGACGAGCAGTCTGAGTACCCCGTGGTGAAAGTGTGCAGCTTCAGAGGCAGAGCAGAACCCACAGTCACGCACAAGAAATCTGCTTCGTCTTACATTAGGAAACAAAGCCACGCATTAAACACAGAAGTTACTTCTACCGAGGGAAGGCAAATCAAACAAAAAATCCTTGGCATGCATTATTTATATGAGGGTAATCTAGTGTGTCTTTCTTTGTAGCTTTAGCATAGATGATCTCTCCAGAAATGCTGAAAGTTAACTTGTTTTTGTAGAATGCAGCTGCTGTGAATTTTAACTTGATGTGAAAGTCATACAGTATTAGGAACCCTGGATTTCAGCGATGAGGAAAACACAATAAAACACGGAATTTTACAGATATACAGTGGTACTTTGGCCGCTGCAGCTCCTGTACCACCCATTACCTAGTTACGCAGACTCGGCTTGTGCATCTGTTTGGCTCTCCCTTCGACACAGACAGAATGAACCAGTCACCCATGGTGGAAACTCTCTGAACTCTGACGTCTTCCCCAAAAAATAAATTCATACCTCGTAGCTTAACGCAAGCTTCAGGGCCACTAAGTTTTATAAATGAGAGAAAATGTTTCTGAACGTTTTGTCAGCATGTGGTCGATTGGAGGCACAAGGATACAATGACTACTCAGAGACACACAGGGGAAGCTAGCTAGCTGCAACACCTCAGTCCAGTTGATGGCGATAACATAAGAAGATCGTAAGCTGCCAATAAACTCAATAGAAGAAGTAGCTAGCTATGGGCAGTCATGTTTGCTAACTCTTGAACATGCAAATAGAGTTGACGGTACTTATTGCTCTGTGCCTCAAATCAGATATTCCTTTGAGGAAAAAAGGCAAACAAACTTCCATCAGTTTTGGCAAAGCAGTGAAAACGGGGAATAAATGGGAGCTACATAAGTATTTTGGTGTTGAGTTCAACTCCAAGACATTTTTAAAAGGCATATTTTCTTTATTAAAAAAATGAGATTCACGCCAGCCCTGTTTAGTCCGCTTTAATCGAACTCTGGTGTGTTTGCCTAGAAAGTTGGGTCAGCTTAGGAAGGTGTGAATCAAACCAATCAGTTGACCAAAAATGCGAAGTCTGGTCCGCCTACAAACCGAGGTCTCGGTCCGGTTGAAGTGAACTCTGGTGCAATTTGAATGCGTATGTGGATGCAAGAGGACCAAAGACTGCATTGAAAGCAGGAAGCGAACTACAGCGCAGGGCATTCTGGGTCAACAGAGCCTGAGTCTAGCAATACAGGCAGAAAAGGTTTATAGCCTTTTGCCAAGGAAAAAAGCGAAATCCTACAACTGCTAAAAGAAATGATGGGGAAACAGTTTAACGTCTTTTAAACATGTCTGTTGATTTGTTCTTTTTCTTTTTTTTCATTCACACCATAACTACATACTTTTTGGGATAATAAATATGAATAAAAATGGAATTCAGCAAAATTTTAATGGAAAAAATTGAATTTGAGAACAAAATAAAACTGAAGTAGGAAAATAATAAAATGTAGTTATTAGGGCCCAACACACATCTCACTATGCAATGTTGAGTTCATCATTAAATAGGGAAGCATGCTTCTTGGCAAAGCAACTTTTTTTTGGATGTTGTTCCTCTCCTTGACATCTATTTTCCCACTTAATTAACAAACCGTGACAGACAATTTTCCTGTTTAATTTCTGCTGCGACAATAACATTGGAACTTCCTTTTTTGTGTCTTTTTAATTCAGTAGGTGTAAGCAGTAACCAGGTGGTCGTCCCTGACAAAGTGAACGCGGTGCTGGGAAAGAACATCACGCTTGGCTGCAGGATCCTGGTGGAGCCCAACCTGAGTCTGACGCAGATCTCCTGGGAACGCCGTCTTCCGTCGGGTACCATCACCTTGGCAGTGTTTAACCCCGAGTACGGAACCTCGTACGGCCAAGAATACGGCAAACGCATCTCGTTTGTTTCCCCGTCCATACGGGACGCCACTATCATCATCGAAGGAGTTGTTTTTTCTGATATCGGGTCATACACCTGCAAAGTGGCGACTTTTCCTCTGGGCAACACGCAAGCGTCGACCTTTGTTAACGTTTCAGGTAATGTAGAATCCTACTGTCGGCTAATACATCTGGGTTATTTTATTTTTAATATAAAAAATTTACAGAGCAGTTCACAGCACAGTAGTTTGTTGTGGTAGAACAAAGCTTGACAGACCGCTAAGCGTTTTCTCTGGAGAAATGAACCGCTGCCTCCTTAGAAAGATGCCAGTTGTTCTTAAGAATCTGCAGCTGAGAGAAGCACCTCTTGTCTGACCTCAAATGTCTCAAATTTGAATCATTCAAAAACTTATGTCACTGCTGCCTGAAAACACTATTTTAAATGTTTTGGTGTGTCTGACCTGCTGCCCTTAGAACAGAATGAAGGAACTTCAGACTGAATCTGAATCAGACACAGCAACAAGTTAATTGCAGGGTGTGATACAAAATGAGTCTCATAACATTCAGTTACATTTTACCAACTTGGATGAAAATGAGATTTGGGAAGGGGAAAAAAAAACATTTGCTCTATTCTGACTTTTAGTTTTCTTCTTTAAACATTTTTAGCATCCACTTGTGATCTGAATTGTTGATTTTCAACTGAAACAATGATGAGAAGTGATGAGAAGGTGCACAGCTTAAAAATAAGCTGTGCAACTTCTAAAGATAGTTTTCATCTTAAAATCATTTTGTCACTTTTAAAATGAGCAAAACTATGTTTTGCAGTGACTAAAAAAAGTAGTTTCAGGCTGTTTGTTTTTGTTCTTGAAGAAAACTTGGCTTTAATGTATATGACAAGGTAACAAAGCTCTGATCAGTTCACTTTGTGCTTTTAATTTTACTAAATACTTTCTCCCCTTTGTTGGAAATAACAAATTCATAACCATATAAACATATAGTCATTTGGAGTATGAATGTATTTGAACTGAATGACCACATTTCCCAAGAATCCTATTGTTGAACTCCTGCTAATTAAATGTTAAACTGCAGTGTCCTCATATTTCTGTGTGGAATACTCATTCTTTAATCTTCTTTTTTTTCTCGACACTCAGCATATGCTTTAAGCTCTAAATGTGACTCTGTGTCGAGAGTAGGAGATTGCGCTATTGGCTGCAGCTTCTTGTCCTCCTCCAGAGACAGGAGGAGACTCTGATGTTTAATGAGCGGCACATTAAGTATTGCTGCAACAGCCGCAGTGTCTGAAACCTCGTGGAGTTCAATTACACCTTGCTGTCTTCTCTGAGCAGATTCTCAGGCTGTTTTATTTATTTTTTTGTGCTCATAGGGAAAATGTACACACATACCCAAACACATACCTTCTTTACAATTCAGATGTAATTAGGGTGTGATTACAGAGGAAGTATGTGTCCTTTTCAGTCTGATATGCAGCGTGTGGGAATTAGGTTACCCCACTGGGTAATTTTCTCAGACGTTGGAACATCACAGTTTGAAGAGTTAAACGCAGTCAGTTTATATTCCCAAGCGCCCTTTTTATGTCCTTCGTGTTTGTTTTGACGTGTATGTTTAAAATTCCTCTTTTCATTATAATGAAGCTCATAATTCCTCTGCAGCTGTGTGATACAGCAGCAGCAGTGCCTTGCAAGATTATTTGTACCTCGCTTTTCAGAATTTCTGGCAAATGAAAATCTGAATTGTATGATGTGCATGTATTCACTCTTTGATAGCTTAAATAAAACCTGATTCAATCAGTTCAGAAGTCACTTAAAGTGAAACTGTTTGGGGCTGTGTGATGTAAACCCGTACCGTTTTAAATAGCTGCTCAGTTCACCTCAGGAGGCCAGCACTGAGATGGGGTCAGGCAAAAAATAATGCAGAACTAAACCAATTTAGACGAAAACGTCAAAATTCACACAGAAACATAAAGGTAGAACCCCAAGTAACCTATTTAGACAGTCTATCAACAAAAGATAGGTTGATTCGGGGTTAATTACACTTTAAATAGTAAGCAGAGAGCAGCACTTCTGTGTTTTTAGCTGTAGTGTAAATCAAGTTGGAAGATGGATGGAGCTAAACACAGAGAAGAAAACCTGTTAGATGCTGCAAAAGACTCACAAAGTGGGATATAGTTTCACATTCCAGTGTGACAACAACTCCAAACACGGCTGGAGCTACAGTGGAATGGTTTAGATCAAGGCATATTCATATATTAGAACAGCCTAGAAAGTCCAGGCCTAAATCCAATGTCGGATCTCTGACAAGAAACAAAGGTTGCTATAAAAATATCAATTCATCAATGTATCGCAATCCATTTTTTTCCAATTCAGTATGGATTCGGGTAAACTGATTGCATCCCACTAGTCAGAGGGTTCACAACATGGTTAGCAACGAGATCCGTGTGCTGTTTTATAGTAAATCATTCCCCTTTGTACATTTCCCACACTTTCTGTTTGTTGGACAAGGATGGGAATTACACGGCAGCAATGTTAATTAGCTAGCTGAGCAGCTAGCACCTTTTCTTAGACACCAGGAACCCATCGGATACCTGTCAGTGCGGCCACCAAATACTCAAAAGTGAAGTCGTCTTCTTCTTGAGTTTACTGGCGGTTGGCAGAGAGGTGTGCAGTTCCACCACCTGTTGGTGAGGTGTGTGGGTCAGAACTGCAGTTCGTTCAAATATGCTTTAAAATGATGGTTCGTAAATGATGTGAACTATCTCACTTTCTACAATTTTTCACGTTTACATACACTCTATGTCAACTTTAATACCATACTGTCATGTTTTAATTTGACACAAGCGTTACTGTGCTACTGTTTTACTTTCAGATATTTTACTTCTCCAAAATGCTGACGTATGCACCTTTAAAGTAATGAATACAACCACGATGGTTTACACAGGCAGGAAAAACAAAAAAATACTGTTATTCATTTGTCTTCCAGTGAACTGGTTGTATGCTACTTTCTACTAAATCAACACTGAAGTATTTAAAGCAACATTGAAGGGACATCTAATTTAACTATGATCCAAACACAAATGCATTCCATAAATTTCTGACTTTAATGAGTAAAAACATTGAAAATCATGTATTAATTTCATAAAAGTGTAATAAATTCTTCCCACATCTTATTTTCATTAGCTGCATCTTCGTGCCCACTACCACTAATTCAGATAAGTCAAATGAATTGCAACTTTTTGAATCTACTAAAAAAAGAAATAAAGAACGAAGGAAACCTCCTAAATACGACCATGAACATAGAAAAGGACTGTTTTTAAAGCCCTTGACCTCTAACGTACCCTTCGATACTTGATTTATGCCATGTGTGTTGTATTTACTTCCTTTTCTACCCATTGCTTTTATATTTTCCCCTACTGCGATTCCGTGTTTGATTCCTGTTTATATTTTGAGGATCATGAAAAGCACACGGCTGCATTTTCATTCCTTTCAAATTAACTACAGTAACAACATGGAACAGCCAAGCCCGTGAGTAATGGACGAAAGTCACGGCACGTATTGTAATGTCTAACAGGTGCAGTGGATATTGGCTTTATTTCAGAAGTCACACTCTCCATCCAAAACATCTCCAATATGAGCAATGTCACGAGAGAGAAACACAAATATTTACCCATACATTAGCTCTTCTGGCTTGGGTTTTCTTTTCTCCTCTAGTCGACAACAGGAAAGGACAAAAATATTTAGGCAACGATTTAGTCGGCGAAACCCCTCTCGTGTAAGCAGAAGGAAGGAAAATATTACCCTAAGTGAATAAGCTACAATGACCCCTTTGTTTTTAACTACTGGTAGGTCAATGGAAATCTACTGAGCAGTTCAGTTACTTGAAAACAAAACAAGGATGCAATTAGGTTTAGAAAGTGGATTTTACAGATAAGGAAACTACCGCTGCGTTTTTGCAAGGAACCTATTTTCGTCCTACAGCGCTCTCTCCTTTGCCCTCTTCATGATTGGACTCTTTACTCAGTCTTTAAATGGAGGTTTTAAGTCGGCTCAAAATGAGCTAAGTGTCGTATAATTTGCTTGCAATAAAGTACTTTCAGATCTGCCTTAACAGAATTCTGGATTTTCCCCGAGTCAAAATGTCGCATGCAAAACGTTGCTGCTTTGTTATAGCATCGTAAGTTGTTTTTTGTTTGTTTGTTTGCTTTTTCTTACATAACATAAATACTTTTCTACCGTTTTGCTTCTTTTTCACGCATCCTTTTTTGTTAAAAGTGCACTTTCCCACTGGGTTCAGATGTTGTGTGTGAATCGAAAAGAGTCGTAGGCATATTGCTGAAGGGAAATTATTGGCCTTTTCCCACCCAACACTTTTCCACTCATCCAGAGGGTTCTCTTCGCCACTCCCCAAAATGAACACGTCCGTCTAATTTGGTTATTCTGATGTTTCAGCTGGCCGGCCTGCCAGCATAGAGCAGCTACTGTTTTAAAGGTCAGAGGGCTGCAAGGAGGGGCAGAGAGAAGTGAGTGAAGAATGTGAGGGCGGAGCCAGGAGGTCAGCGTCCCCGCCCCTTCTAAAGGGGTACATGAGGTGGATGCTTATTTTTGGAAAAGAAGGAAAACGGGGTAACAGTTGTATTTTTTCTTGTTCGGAATTTGCTGCTGCACCTCCTTGTTGGCTAATGATAAGGAGCAAGATGGGAGATTTTTAATCCAACAGCTTGTAGGATTTAGCAGGCAGCGAAAGAGGAGGCGGTGTGCTGCAACACGATGCAGACAAAATAAACCAGAGCACACTGTAACCTGCTTTTAACCGGGCCTGTTGTTTATTCAGTTCCCCTCCAGTAAACGTTTTCTTCTCTTGTCTCCTTTTTGTCCTTAACTCTACGACTGTCAGCGCTGACAGTGTGTGGTATGTTGTTTTATTTTTCTTCTCATTCTTTCTGTCCAGAGCATGGTTGAGACGAGTTCGCTCTTTGCACAAAAGGAAGCGCGGTTGCATAATTCTGGTCACGTTCCTCCTACATAGACCTGCTTGTCGAGTCATTCTCAGAGAAATGGTGTAACATCGTCCCAGCGCAGAAACTGTCAGACGGAGGGCGACTATTGTGTTATATGTAGTCGAAAATAAACAGCAAAGAGCAGAGCCCCTATGCAATCTTTAAAAAATATGAAGTCGGAATTTAATAGCTCCCTATACAGTCCAACTGATTAAGTTAGAATATTATTGGTAAGCCTTTTGATTTCAGGAGTTTATCACTGAGTGAAACACTTTAAGTTGTTCCTTTAATGCCAAATGTGTCGTTTTTGATGCGAATATTTCTCTAACAAAGTACTTTCCTTAAAAAAATTCACTACAATAAAGTAAACATTTTGTGTTTTTAGTTATAACGACTAAATCAACACAAAAGCCTGATAAATTAATTGTGGTACAAACAAATTTAGAAAACAAGCCCAGGAGTACAAAATGGTTTCTTTTCTATAATGAAACACTTTCAATGTTTAATTTTAAAAATAATCAGAATTTTTATTAACTAATTATTTAAGTTACCAGGTTTTAAAGGGTTATTTATACACAGATGGAGTAGGGATATGGACAATAAATCAATAGCAATATAATTCACAAAAGACAAATGATCAATACCAATAGATAATATGCCTGATAGAATATTCAATATGTAGACTATCAATGTAGGCAGAGGAAAAGCTTTAGCTGCTCTACGTTGAACTGACTTGACCTTTGGTTACTGAGCAACAACTTGCTGAGTAACTTGCGTAGAAGCTGTTTCAGGTTTCTCCACCAGGCCTCATGACTGCTTAAAATAAAAGAAAAAACAGGAAAGTTCATGCCACCAGTTTTTAAATATCTTGAATATTTCTGATGTTTAAAACAAACAAATCTAATCTGTAACTATTAATATCGACCGATATGAAATGCTTATATCATAATCATAATACTTTTTTCAAACATCCCTAAAGTGGATGTTTGAAAGCCTTTATTTCTGTTAATTATTTTTGATTTTTCACTTACAGCAAATAAAAAAAAACATGACATTTGAAATCCCACCAATAGAAAGACTCTTTCTAAAAACAGAAATGTGGGCTTAATGAAAGGTATCTCTACAGGATTTTATTTTAGAAAGGTACTTTTAATCTGACAAATGAGACTCATTGGAGCGTGTATTCTAATTTACTGAATATGACGGTAAGCATAAGTAAGGAAAAATAAAATAATGCATCAAATATTGCTATTTACTTGATAGTATAGTTTTTAAAATTAATGAGCATTGGAATTTTGAGCTGGGAAGAATGTGGAATATTGACCTGAGAGCCTCAGGTTTTTTCTCTCCTTTAAATCTTATGGAAACCTCTGACAGTTGTGGACTTCACTGAAACCAGCTAGTTATGTGTTTCAGCTGTAGATCACAATAAAAAAGAAACAGTACACAGTAGTAAGTTTACACTTTTTTTTCACCAAAGTCCTAATTGGCAGCATTCCCTCTTTTCCCATGTCTCAGCCTTATGATCAATATATTTTGAAGGGCAGGTTTGCTTACAGAGACTTCATAATCCATTTTATTTGCTTTTGATTTGTTTATTTATTTCAGACATTTAAAATGTCTTCCCGTTCCAGAATTAAATGTTCTTTATAGATTAGTTTATTGATCTTCGAGAGTGTGTACTTGCCATTTTTGTGCTGTTAATTAACAATGCTCTCAAAACGATAATATTATCGTTTAACGCTGTCATTTCTGGGATAATTTATGGCCCAGCAAAATTTATTGTGACAGGTCTACTTCTTGCTGCGAGTGCTCCCAACTGCACCACTGTTCAGTCCACAATGAGAAACTCTCCACCTTAATGTAGATGGCTGTGTAGAACTGTTTGTCAATTTTTAATGTGCGCACTCTGGGTGAAAGACGGAAATCAATGTTTTCTCTTTTAGCAGTTAAGTACACTAAGGTGACCGGACATTACTAATTCATACATGAACACGAAAAGATCACTAATAATTGTTTCATCATCTATTCAGTTTTTGTTGTTGTTGTTGTTTTCTCCTCCTATAAACAGTGGAGCCCAAGGTGTACGTGTCTGCAGGCCCCGCGCCTCTTCTTGACGGCGGGGACGAGGCGCTGGTGGCTACCTGCATCGCGGAGCGCGGGCGGCCCGCCGCTGAGGTGTTCTGGGAGGCCGAGCTGTACGGGCGATCTGAGAAGCAAACTCAGGAGGAAGTCAACGGCACCACCACGGTGCGCGTCAACTACATGTGGAAGCCCCAGAGCTACGCCCAGGGAAAGATGCTCACCTGCGTGGTGCGCCACCCAACGCTGCAGACAGAGTTCCGCATAGGCTACAAGCTAAATGTGCAGTGTAAGTGCTGAATTAAGACAACACACATAGTTCTATCTGAGAAAAATCATGATAATTTTCTTTTGATACAGTTGAAATCAGAAATTTAGATACACTGAATAAAAAGACATTTTTTTCTCACAGTCTTTTATTGTATTATCTTAGTGAGAATTACTAAAATGACTTCTATTTGCTACATTGCACAAAACTTGGCAAGAAGATTTTTTTGATATCTGTTTGTAACTTTCCTTAAATTCAAAAGTAGAGTTAAATACAATTAACACAGTCAATGCTCCATTTGATATATAAAACTTTATTAGATATGGCCTTGACTTTATTTGAAATATAATGGACACAGAGGACAAAAATGAAAGGAGAAAGCAAAGTGAGACAGGTGGGGAAAAGGTTTAAAGGAGATGGGAGTACAGGAGAGGAAGAAGCATAGAGAGAACACAAGTCGACACCCTAGAAGTCTGCCTCCACGCCTGCAGAAAGAGAGAAAACCAGAACCACAAACAACATATATGTAACAATAGTTATAACATTACTGAAAATCACACAGTACAAGTTAGTACGAGGTGTTTTTAGTGGCAACTGCCTCCCAACATTCATTGTATCTGAAAAACATCTGAATCTAAATGTTTAGAAACATTTGTCAGTCGAGCGCTCTGACTCTGTGTTTTTCGAAATGGGAAATACTTTCAGTACAGTTGAATTTCTCCATTTGTTTTGTCTTGAGGAAAAAAATATCAGGGTCTTTTTTCATTCAGCTGACTGGTAGTGGAGAGCAACATGTGGGGGAGGGGCAGCATTGTGTTTCGCTAAGCTGCATTCACCCCAAAAAAGTTTCAGTTGCTCGGGGACGTTCTCCGCCGTCTCATCAGAAGAACTTCAAGCTATAAGATAATGTTTGTAAATGTACAAGTTAAGTTTTAAAACTGTTTAAAATCTTAATGCCAGGAAAGGTTTAATGCCTCCCTGCAACAATAGTTACAACAATCCCCTTTATTTTTGTAAGAAAGCAATAGTGTCAACTAAAAGTAAACTGAAAGCATCAGCTAAAGTATGGATTTGAAGGAAGTAATTTCGATGAAATTAAAGTCAGAATTGCAAAGGTGCCCCATGCTTCCTTAACAAGCAGACTGTTAGTCTGTTTGTTCTGTGTGAGTGGAGACTAATGAAGGTGTTTTATGAAATATTGATCAAGCCTTTAGAGCAACACAAGTAGCAAGAGGCTGCCGGGCGCAGCGGATGGAGACACACGGAAACCAAGGTTAATGCAGGAAGAAAGAGGCTCTCTAGTTCAATAAATCATGTCAAGTGCAGAGGCAAGAGGTTTTAAGTGCAAAAGAAGCACAATTTTGAACTGTGTGGAATAGGTTCAGTGGACGCAGCAAGTAGTGACACCTTCGCCTGGAATGCAAACAGTTCCTTCATCTGCCCTCTAGAGAAATCAAAAGGAAAAATTAGATATCTGTGTCACTATTTGCCATGTTTTATTACAGTGGCGTGCGTTGCGCTTCAGTTATTTCTTCCCAGTGACGGTGCAGGTCTGGGTTATTATGTGGCAGGCTGGATCTGCTGACTGACTCTGCTGTTTTCTAACTTTCCATCAACGAACGCTCATTTGTTTGCTCTCCCAGCTTGATTTAACCGGCAGATGCTGTGGCCTGTTACCATCCTGTGATTACAATACATGCTTTGTTCCTTCTGGAAAAGCTCATTTGTCACCTGGCTGCTTGAATTTTAGAGACTAACTGTGAAGCTTTAGTCTTCTATCGCTGGAAGAATGATTTGATTAAGTACAAGACATGATTCAATTCTGTTCAACTCAAATGTACTTTATTTATACCAAAGGGAAATGTAATTGTCATGACTCATATCTTCCAAGTATCTCTAAAGGGTTCTTGCAGATGAAGATTCTGTGGGCAGGAAGAATCTCCAGTAGCAGTCTTGCTCATAGTCTGATGACATCTCTGATTGAAGACTGTTGCTCCTGACTTTTATGACATGTTAGCAGCTCAATTTCCGAACAGCAGAGATGATATTCCACGGCAACATATGTTTAATGACACCATTAATTTACACCTCCTTTGGTTATGACACTCCTATTTATATCTGTAGGTGTTGTCATATCAGCCCTTATTGGTCCGCTTTAATCAACTCCAGTTCATTTGCCTAGAAAGTCTGGTTTATTTGAGAAGGTGTGAATGTGTCATCAAGGTCTGATGTGGATCAAATACAGACCTTGGTCTCTGTTCGGTTAAAAAGAACTGTGGCGTAATTTGAATGTTTATGTGAACACCAAGATCACCAGAGACTGCTCCAAAAGCAGCAAGTGTAGCATAGCACAGGACATTCCGTTAAATTCAACCAAAACAAACGGGTGAGTCCAGCGTTAGCAGGAGAAATTATTTGTGGTTTTTTGCCAAAACCAAATGAGACATCCTACAACTGTTAAAATCTGATGCCACTCCATTTGTTCACATTTCGCGAAGAACCAAGTTGCACTCAGCGCTTCAGAGGTTTTTGTGTCGTTTTCCTCAGTGGTTCTTGGTGCAGCGCCACCACAGGCGAGGCAAACCTTTGCGATTTCTCAAAGGTTTTGGCTCATTTGACTCAGTGCAGTTTGAAAGCGAACTGCAGCAGATGAAAATGTAAAATAAGTTGTAATTTTGGTCCCCAATCGAACCAAGACTACCAGGCTGTCAGGAGTGAAAACACCGTCTGTCTATCCGTCTGGCTAGAAAGCTGGGCAGAGAGACCTTGGAGTCCATATGATCCTCACCCATTGTGATCGAGGGAAGACATGGTTTGAACTTCCTCCTTCTCTTTCTGCTCTTTGGTCTGCATCCATGAAGCCTCCTGTTGAGCCTCTCTGGGATTTGGGGTCATAGTTCAGATGTTAATTGAACTTTGAAATTCAAGCAAGCTGCTTTGAGTTGTAAAAGCAATGAATTGTTGCCACGGTCAAGAAGAAATATCATTAATGAAACATTAATGGATA